TAGGAGAAAATACCAGTTAATTCCAGTGTGTTTGTGCCAGACTAAACCATGGTGTTTTCTGTTGGAGTTCCTCTGAAATAAAAAACTAATGTAGTCTTTTCCCCAGATATAAAGCTGTCGAGGTTCCAGCTTTTGACAGTAACTGATTGAGGGGGGGTGGGGCACGAGGATTCTGTAGCATAAAAAAGTCCTTTTTTTGAGATGTTGGGAAGGGATACACTTATTCTAAAGTTCTTAATTAAAAATAATTCTAAAATAATTTTATGCATCTACAGGATTGTGAATTTCAGTATTTAATTTCTAGTTTATTTTATGTTGGCAAGTAGTTGAATCACTTTAAGTTTCCAATTCTGACCTTCTAAACAAAGTTCTCATTCTTCTCCTTCCTGTTTTCCTTCCAAATATTGATAGACACAGATAACTGATAGTGAAAATCAACTGCAGTATTGTTCCACTTCTTTTCCAGCCCATGGAGAGTGTGCTGGGATGCTGCTATTGCAGGAAAGTCAACCATTCCTTCAAAACTCTTGTCACATTAATGTCACCCTTTTCTTAGACCTCAGCAGACACCTTTACTCTCTCCAGGTCTAACTAAGAGATATTTTGTAGCTGTTTAATGTTTCTCTGCAGATCTGATGGAATAACCAATATTTACATGCTCAGCAGTTTAAGGGGGCTAATAATATATCACTAATCAATAATATCACTAATACTGAAATCACAGCTGTAATTTGACAGCTAAGGACTAAGTAATTGTGTTGTAACAATACTGGATGGAAGCAGTCTGGGTTGTTACCAAGTATTGTAGAACACGTTCAAATCCTTTAAATAACAATTTATATGTAAATTTTGTCTCTGAACTAAACCTTTCATGAAAGAACTCTAGGCCATTTTAAAAAGTTGCAGTTACCTTTCTTATTTTCCTTGTTTCATGTTGATTAACTTGCAGCACCTCAAATTAAGTTGGAAAATGCAGTCTCAGGTAATGACCACCATGGTTAATCTGGCTCCTTGGCAAAGAAATAGGAATAATAGTCCAATTTCAATAAGACCTCATAAAATTTTAAATGTGAAAATACCACCCTGTTTTCCAATTATACTAATCCAGAAGCATATATCTCTACATTTATAGCTTTGTTTTTAATATTTATTCTTTTTGCAGCACTGAATATTTTCCATGTGATTAAGACTCAGAATTTTTATTTTGTAGCATTTTTACTATGTACTTAATAAAGCTTTTGGTCTGTGTAATGAATATTTTAAAGGTATGCTGGGGCTTTATTAAATGCCTAGTGGGAAACGCATAATAAAAAAAATGTATTTTTTTTTCTGATCTACATTTTAATTCATTGCAAACTTGTAAAGAATTTAAGGTAAAATTTTATTTTTAAAGGAAGACAAAGCCCCAGGATCATGAGGAGTTTGATATAACTGCAAATGTGAGGGTTAAGCCAAAGAGAAAGTCAGTTTTCATTCAAAAGCTTTTGAAGTTCTAGATCAGTAATTAACATGGAGGAACTGTAGTGGAGAGTAAAGAAGTAAAGAGGTAATATATGATCAGACTTCATCAGACAATTTAATAATAAAATACATAGCAGGTAAAAACCCAACAAACCAAAATTGCCAAACAACAACACTAAAAAACAAACACAAAAACCTGACCAAGGTGCAGAAAACCACAACCCAAAATGGCAACAACAAAAACTTCCAGCTGCATTTTGGCTGCCAGCTGTGGCAATTCCCTCCCTGTTTAATTGCTGTTGGCATCGGGGTTCAATCCAGTGCTTTGCATGGACTGGGATAAAGGAACCATCTTACCATCTTCAAGGTGATCGGGATTTTATCCCAGTGAAGTGGAAAGGTTTGTGTGGTCAGATGGACCCAGAATAATTTGGCTGAGGGAAAGGTAATTTATCCCACTGCAGATTTGATTCCGTGGGATTTGCACATCCTCCCAAGAGGCAGAAATGCTGTGCACTTATGTAAGGGCTCAATTCCCTGGAAGTATTGAAGTTGTAACTCTGCACAATAATACAGACATTGCATACATAATGGAATTAAGTCCTAAAAAGCACAGTTTGTACAGCAGGACAAAGATCTCCAGCATCTGTTTTATGTTAAGCAATGTGTTCTGCTGCTGTTGGAGACTGAAGAGCAGCAGCTGAGTAATGCCTTGGTGTGGAAGTTCTTGGGGTTGCTTTTAGTGGGAATATGGTTTCTAATTTTTTTAAAGTGTATTGCAGAGTAGTTACAACTTTGAACACATCTGCCTAAGTCATACTTAGGTATGATTTGTTAAATTAGCTTACTTTGTAGTTCCGTTAAATTACTCCAGAGGGGGAAAAAAGCCCTTGTACTAACATGCAAAAGTTTTACTGTTGTGCCAGAAAAGTTACATTTTCCCTAAGTAAGATCTATTTTCAAATGAATGTTAAAGGATAGAAAAAGCTTTTTAGAACAGCTAAACCCTAGGTTTTGCAAATCAGTCTTGAGTTATGAACAAGTGAATTTGAACTTGTTAAGATATCATCTGCTACTCATGGAATTACTGGGCTCCTGGATCTTGTCCAAAGTGCCCCACTGTAATTAGGAAATAGCTTAAATGTTCATCCAGAGGCAGGGTTCTCCTTGCACAGTGCTACTGTGCAGTATTGGGGTAGCTTGATTACTGCAGAGTATCTGAAGTTGCAGGTTCATAACTCACTCCAATAGTGTTCATTCACTGTTCCTCAAAATTCATTGAGGCCATTTTGGGTGTTGTGTTCAAGAATATTTCAAAGCATTTTCTATCTCTCTGCATGTAATACTTTCATCATGGGAACCCACACTTCTTTTCTTTGATTCTGCCAGGAGTTATTTTCAGGACTCTTTACAGGTTAATTAACTTGTTCTCATGTTAGTTGCTTAGTCTGTAGAATGTGGTGTTAATTCATGAGCATTGTGGTGGTGGTCAGATGGTGTCATGGTGTCATTACCACTCATTCAGCTGAGGTTCAGTTTTATTTTGCCTCTCCCTCCTTTATCTTTGTAAATGCTGCAGGTGCAGTTCTGGGAGTGGGTAGAAGGAGTCTGTGTAATTTCTGTGTTGTAGACTCTCACTAATTATTCTAATAAAGCAAGAGTCAAAGGCTTAGTATTTGTTACTCTTTTGTAAGATTATAAAATAACAACAGAGATAATTTCAGCATGTCTTGCAGAGCTGTTTCTATTCTTTGAGCCTCTCAAGAAGTAATACAGGATTGAATGAATGTCTTTGTTTGATTGCACAACTGAAGATGAATTTGTGTGTGAAGAGGTTTTTACACCTTAGTTTCCAGCTTTGTTTTTAAATTTACATTGAGATCTCTTGGTTCTATCAAGAGAGTTTGTTTGCTGTTAGGGAAATTGTTCTGAAAACACAAATCCTACAGCAGTGCTGTTCATTTTTCAAGGCTTGATGTCCAGCTTTTGGACAAGCTGGGTTAGTTCATACTGTATGGTTTATTGAACAGGATATTCTTTAATTTTCTTTATTGAGAATCAGGAAATATATGCCATTACTTTGTTATCTTGTTGAGCATAATACTGTCATGCTTGTATTTATTGGCTGTAAATCAGGAGTGAGTGATTTAAATGTGCATTGTAGCAGGTGATGTGTGCATTTGCAGAAAGCAAGATAAAAAATGTTACTTTCTGAAGCTGCAATAAAGTAATGAAGATTTTTTGTTTTAAATAATTTTTTTGTGTAACTTAATGTCTAGAAGAACAAATTCACTGTTCTTTGGATACTTTGCAAATCTCTTGGTGATGCTTAGGCTGAAGTGGCCAGAATAATTAAAGATATAAATATTTGTATATGCACACACATTGTTTGGATTGTGCATTACTGTCACATTATAAAGCACTATGTCCATTTTAATTCTGTGCTTTCCAACTTCCCTGGCTGCCAAGAGGCTCTTTGACAAATCTTTAAGAAGGGGACTGTAAATATGTCATTACAGGACAAATCACAGTCTCTCACACTCTCAAGGCTTCAGCTGAAATGAGCAAGCACTTTTAAGATGGCTCTTTGCAAAACAAATTAATCTACAGCAATTAAATATAACAACTTTGATTACTTGAAGGTTACAAGAAAGTACTTTGTTTTAATTTCCCTGTGATACAGCTTCAGAAAGAGAAGACAAAACATGCTACTGAAGATTTTTCTTTCTATTTAAGTATTCTAGTGGAGATGCTCTGAAGCTTAAAAAAGCTGAGCTTCTCCAGTGTAAGGCCAAGAGATGTGTAGTAGAGGTAGAATTATAAGAAACATTTCTCCTCCTGTGGTGGGCATAGAAGGATGCTCAACTTCTTGGTAAAGAAGTTAAAATCAAGAGTCAGCAATTGGTTCACACCTTAATTTCTTTCGTCTGTGTGTATTTCTGTAATTCAGATGTATGTGCCAAGCTCATGCAAATACAAATAAGGATTAAAACCTTACATCACAACATAAACAGTAAATGTGCTATTGGCCAGTTTTTCCTCAAGAGGAAGGTGCAAGTATTAACTTGTGTTTAAAGGAACAACTTTTATTCTTTAGGGTTTACAATTTTTGCACTACACATGCGTAGACTTTCAGTCCATCCTTAGTTTTGTGTGCAGGATTCTAAATGCTGTAAAGTAAGATTTGTGGATCTTCAGGTGTTTAACACACTTGGCATGAATTTGCTTCAGTTCTGTGTCTGAATACTTAAACCCATCACCTGAGTGGTTTTGCCGAACATCTGCTACCTCCAATGAATGAAAAATAAGTTATTACACATTCTCACTATACATAATTTGAGTAGGATACTTCTGTCTAAAGGTGATGTTTTATTACTCTTGAGAATAAGTTGAAATCAGATATGTGGCTGCTTTTTTTGGGGACATCAGGTGCCAAAAAAAGCACAATTACTGTATTTTTTTGATTTAAAAAAAATCTATGTATAAGAGCCTGTATTTCTTGGATGGAAAAGTTGCTGATTGTGTTAATTTTATTTCAGCTTTACTTTTGGAAGCTCAGTCAACACCGTTTCAAATAACTCCTTCAACCATGGCAAATATTGTGAAAGGCCTGTATACACTACGACCAGGTAAAAAGGAAAAAATGTTTCTACTGATCTCATCTTGTGCTTTTCATTTTTTTGCCAGAATGTGTCTACTCTCTAGCTAATGCCCAGTTAACAATCAAAGTGTGTTGTGTTTGTGCCTTGTACAGCTCAGTTCCACCCTGGGTCTTGTTGCCTGTCACCTGGGCAAGGTACCATGTGAACACCAAATACTTCTTATAAAAACAGCAACCCAGTCCTCTGTTCTGGAGGCAAGGAAGAGATCCATTCCTTCTCTGCAGAAATAAGAAGGATGTTAATGAGGCAATCATGGTAGAAATTTGGAAGTACTGAAATGGTAAAAGTTGTATTGAGAGTCACTTGTCAAACAACAGGTGTTTGGCCTGAGGTGAATGATTGTTTCTTTATGAAGCCATTGTTTTGTTGGTATTATTTCATGGAAGAGCTTAATTTAACTTGTGAATGTGACATCTTATGCAACAACAGTTATATTAAAGGAAAATGGTGTTGCAGATTTTAATCAATTTTGTATGAGAATCTTCAAAGTTTTGGAGAACTGAGGAGAGCCTTACCCTGTGCTTGAGAACTTCTTAGAAACAAGAAGTGTTCAAAATATCCATAAATAAATGGTACCTGTTCCACTTCCTTTTACAGTCCTGACAGTTTCTTACTGTGGCGTGCCTGAGAGAAGGATTGTGCCTGAGCTTCAGTCTGTTTTTGCAATCCCCATTTATGGAAATAGAAATGAGAATGGGAATCCTTTACAAAAAGCTTTAGTGCAATATTTAGCAAGTGTACAAACCAGGAGTGTAGTGGACTCTACATGTACAAAATGCACTTTCTGTAAGCAAAGATTATATTTACATCAGCAAAATTAACATACTTCTATCAATTATAAGGCAATGCTAATTTCAGTTCTAGAAAGTGTTCGGGACCAAAGATAGGAAGGATGTATACATAAGTATAAAAGCATTACTGTTTTGAAAGCAATTTAGGGTGGTTGTTCCTTGACCACACTTCATACTGTAGGTGATAGACTTGTGATTTCAGCTTTCCATTTCAGATGATCCCTGTCTTACTGTCCACAGCACAGACACTGCTTTGGGTTGCTACCATGGCACTAACCAGATTTTGAGTCCTAACAGCTGTCAGACTTCCAAATGTTGCCAGAGAAGAAAGGCTCTCTTTTAATCCTAGCTCAGTACTGGGGCCAGTCCTTTTAAAGACCTCTATCACTGATCTGGATGAGGGGGTCGAGTGCTCCCTCAGTCAGTTTGGAGGACTGTGAGGGGTTGGAGGACTAATGAACACTAAAGAAGCATATATCTAAGCTTTGGAAGACCGATGAGAGAAATGAATGAATTCTTTTGAAATGGGGGTGGAGGAGCAGGGTTGGATGATGATACTACTGTGTTTTTTACAAGTAAGGCTCAGGGGAGAGAAGGGTACATTTTGGGGATAAATTTCCTGGAGTAAAATGTTACAATCATTATCTGATTATCCAAGTGAGTTTGTTGATCATTAGTTGCCTGTCCTTAGGAGTGTCCAGGGACTCAACAGGTCCTGTGAGATGTAGCAAGAACTGAATTTCAATTTGATGATGAGGTTGAGAAAAATAGTAATTTTTCTATCTACACGTAAACATCTGATTTCAAAAGTCTCATTATTTGTTGCACTTTAAGGCATGGATTCTGTGGATTTGGGAATTTTCCTTTTTCCTTTATTTTTTTTAATTTAAGATCCTATCATGTATTAAAAATAAAGTTACATTTGTCAAACAGTAACATTTTCACAAAATATCTCTTCCATATATTTTGTTATTGCTTTCTGTCTTCTTACAGAATGGGTACAGATGGCACCAGCTTTATTTTCTAAATTCATCCCAAATATACTACCCCCTGCTGTGGAATCTGAGCTTCAGGAATATGCTGCTCAAGACCAGAAACTTCAAAGAGAGCTTATTCAGAATGGATTTACTAGGTAATAATTATTAATCTTTAGTAGTGATTGTGCAGGACAGTGCTGAAATGGTAAAAATGGATGCACCTAAAAATACTGAAGAAATAATTTAAGAATTAATTAAGAACCTTCACAACTCAGTATTTGAAATATGGCCTTATTTTCAATGTCTTTTGAGCACTAACAGCCCTGCAGATGGTACCCAAACAGTAGATGATTGTAAGGCTTGAAATGTTTTGAACAGGTTTCTTGCAGTTCATGCATCTCTGGGTTTTGGTTGTGCTTCTACTGCATGATCATGCTCCTGTTCAACTTCAACCTTTACTTTGGCTGTTTATTTTCTATAAGCTCTCTTTTACTCGTGGTGCTTCTGAAAATGTCAGTTTTCTCCTTACTCCACTTTCAAAGCTATTTATACAAGCAAGGTGTTTATTTTAAATAGATGTTTCCCATCTGAATATTAAATTGAGGAGAGGGAAAAGGAAGAGGAACAAACAGTAAAAGACACAGGAGAAAATGTTCATACTGTAACTTGTTGCCTCTGGGCAGTGCCTTTTGCTGTGTGCTGTTCTATTTTTCTGCCAGTCAAAGGCACAGCACTTTTCACCATTTCTGCAGTACTCTGACAAGCTAAGATCAGGCTGGGGAACTGCTCTACTCTCAAGAGGTTCATTTCTTCATAAAGAGAAAACATCTTCATTTTTCCTGTTACCTGTGCAGTGCTGAGAGTCTGGCCCTGTAGTGTGAACACCTACTAGATGTGGATATGTTTAATGTTGAGTGCATTTCTAGGTTTCATGACCTGTGGTTTTCCTCAAAGGTCATCTCTCTCTTCAAAGCCTGGTAAATTATTTAGCTTCAGAGCTCTACTGGTGACCCAAATGCAAATGACGTGGTGCAGACTCTTCCTTGTAAAGGCTGTCTGTTGAGGAAAAGAATTTTTTGAGAGATAAGCATAAAAATAAAATCATAAGAGCTGGGGCTGAGAAAAGCAATTCATTTGGCTCAAGAAATAAAAGTGTGAGACTTTGTAACTGAGTAGGCATATTATGCTGACAAAAGAATGTAATGTACAGAACAAAACAAAAAAGGGAACAATTTGGTGTTGTCAAACTTTCAATCTTACTAATTCTGTAGGTGGCTGATAATAGTTCTGCTTAAAGTGCATTTCACCAGTTTCACACTGCTTGGAGAACTTAACATTACATTTCAAGTACTAATGATTATATCCACAAAACCAACTGGTTTATTGAGATGCACTTTGCCTTGCAATGGTCTGTGTCCCTCCCCAGCCTTTCATAGTCTGTCCTCCTTACAGAACCAGCCAAAGAACTTCACAGCCAAGTCTCTCATTTTCAGGTAACTAAAGAAAACCATCTTTCCAACCAGTTGGTTTTGTGGATTTAGACTGTTAGTACTTGAAAAGTCACATTTAGTTCTCTAAGCAGTGTGAAACTGGTGAAATGCACTTGTAAGCAGAACTATTATCAGACACCTACAGAATTAGTAAGATTGAAAGCAATAACCATGAAGAACACAGCACAGTGAGGTGTATTCAGCAGCAGTAATTGCACATCAGCTTCTAGTTGAAGAACAACAGCTTATCAACACCATTAAGTGCTAAAATCTTCTGCTTAAAGAGCAAATGCTGTCAGCTCAGACTTACTTAGAGTCTGTAAGATTCAGGAGCATCTTTCCAGACTGACAGATGCAGAGATTTTTTACATAGTTCTATAAAGTTTGGTTGAGGAATTCAAAGTGAGGAAAACAATGCTCTAACTGCATGTGAGCATTTTTCCTCATCTTCATTTTGTAAAAGATTATCCTATGAGATCAAGCCTACTGTCTGTAGCAAAAGGATGAGGTAATTAAATCTGTGAAATACAGCTTACGGTTTTGGTAAATTGATGTTCCTGCAGTAGTAGTATTATTTCTATGTTTGTATTTTTTGCCTAAATTTCTAGAAGCTGCTGATTGTGCTGAGGTATTTCACTGTTGTTTTGAAGATCACAGAATAGTTTGGGTTGGTAGGGACCTTTGAAGTTCCAGAGGAGCAGGGACATCTTTAATTGAAGTTATCATGAAAACACTTTTCTTTGCCTTTTCCTGCAGAGGTGACCAGTCACGCAAGAGAGCTGGAGAAGAGTTAACTTACAGTAAGTACAGATCCAGCCCTGCCCTCCAGCAGGCTCCAGCCCCTCACAGCTTGGGGATTCAGGTCCTGGTGGACTTCTGGGTTCTCTGGGTGGGGAGGTGTCAGGAGCATCTCCACATGTAGCAGATGTCTGCAATGTAGTCTTTACTGTGCCAAGAAATAATACAAACTGCTTAGATGTAGAGCTGTTGGGGAATGGTGTCTGTTCTGGTACAGTTGTGAACTTCTGCTCATTTTATGATTTTATGGCCCTCTTCCCACCAAGTTTCCTCATGTGCTTTCAGCTGAGTATGCTCACTTTATTGCCTACCATAAAATGTTACACAGTTTTATGATGAACTCTTATTACAGGCTGAAATGACTGAATGGACATTTATGTGGTGCATCAGCTTCTGTTTACACGGAGAATGTTTTGCAGACACTGCTGTGTTTTGGGGGAACGGTGGCAAGGGACATCATATGGAAGTTTAATAAGAGGATTTCTTAACTTTTCCTGTAATTTCAGATGGCTCATCAGCTTGTGCAAGCTCCAGGGGATACAGATAGTGAATATACTGGATCAGCTTCTATTCCTAGCCAGAACAGACACTGGAGGAGCACAGGTATTATCTGGAGCCTCCTTTGGCAACTGCTGATACTCAAGCTCTGACACAAACTATGCCTCAAAGAAGAGTTTTGGACTTTCTTCTTTATATATTAAAATGTCAGTTGCTGCTACAGTTGAGATGACTTTGAAAGACACAATTCCTTGGTCTGGCCTATCAACAAGTTCTTCTGCAGCCTTTGTGAGGAATGCACCTTGAAAAACAATCCTTTCAAAGTGGAAACGGGCAGCCAAAATCAGCAGCTTCCTAAAGCATTAGAATGGAAGAATCCTTTTTGCACTCTTTTCTTATTAAGGACATTCTTAAAACTAGCTAACACGTCAGTGTATTAGATTTTAAACTTCAAGTTATTTTCTGGAGCTTCTACTCAAATAATAAGAATAAAGTTTCATTATTTTGCAGTATTTGTTTGTTAGTTTAAAACCTGTCACCTTTCAAGAGTTGGTCCCCTATAAATGTATCTTCTGTCAGGGAGTTTTGAATTCCAGATTTTTTCTTTTATCTCTTTTTTTTTTACTTGATATTTTGAAATCTGTTTTCCTATGTGTTTGTACTCTGTGCCTTCAGCTTGTGCACTTTGCGACTTTATAGACCATATTTTGTTACTGCAAAATGTGTTCTTGAGGAAAAACTTGATGTGAACAAACATGCTGCAAAGTTGCAAACTTTTCTCTTGCATTAATGGGAAGTGAAAATAAGGAGGAAGGAAGAGAAGTTGAACCTATCATGATCACTAATAGTGACTTAGAAGTTTGTCCCCATTTATTTTTCATGTGTATTCATGTTTAATGCAGGGACCAACTCTTGTAGAATCCCCCTCACTGACTTTTTCATTGGCCTCAGGAGTTGGACTGGATGACCCTTGTCCTTTCCAACTCAGACTGTTCTGTGATTCTATGATTCCATAATTGTGATAGATGGAGATGAGAATTCCAGACTGAACAAAATACCAGGATGTGGTTTATGTTGTGCTCTGTAAAAATGTGGGCAAAACTCTCCAGTCTGGTAGTTCTGCAAAGTGCATCTCCATCAGCACGAGATTTGCACTGGGCTGAACTACGGTACCTGTCCAGCATCACTCTGGGGCTCCTGTGCCATTTCTCCTGCTGGGGGATGCCACGGGGCTGTGTGACAGTAGACAGAGTCAGAATCAGGGATTTCAGGAGTGATATAAAGTGTGCCTGTGCCCATCTGCCTCCTGCCTCCAGTCCTGTGTCCTGGAGATCCAGCTGAGCCCATTGCCACGGGATCTGGGGCTAGGGGCTGAGTCTGCTCATTGTGATGTGGGTTAATCAACAGTATGGCTAAAGCAGCTCTTTCATGAGGGGAGAAGCATACTTGAAAAAGCAGTTTGATTACAGGGTTTGGTTTTTTTTTCATTACCATGGATTTATTTTTTATCTCCTTTAGTTATGAAGAGAAATAGGTTGGTAATATAAAAGAAAAATCTTTCTGAAGTGAAATAGAAGTTTGTTCAGTTTTGATTGGCACAACTGTTATGCCTGTTTTAAAAAAAACAACACAAAATACCAACATAACTCCTTTTATGCTTGTATGGGTTCATTACAAAATGCAAGAAAAAAAAATAATAAAAAAAAAATGCGGCAGGGACAAAGTTTCTTTTTGTTTTGTATCCAGGCTTTATGTCAGTGGATTTAATTCCATCAGTGTCTCATCAGCCACTTTGGCAATGTGGTTTGGTTGGAGGGTAGGGGAGGAAGAATGAATTTGACACTGCTGGGATTGACAGATTCAAATATTATTTCCCTATGTCTTTTTTTGCATATTTGCAAAGCCTGTTTAATTTTGAGGAATTGTTTCTTTTTAAATTAAGACCTAACGCGTCAGTGCTTTGTGTTTAATGCAGAGCGATGCCAGCAGTCTGAACTCGTCCCCAGCAGTGTAAACCAAGCCACTCTGAGAGGGAATTTTCAGGTGTTGGTAGTGTCTGCTTCAACTTTGCTACCAGTTACTTAAATTGGAGCAGAATTAGATAAAATCAGGGGGTTTAAAATTTTTGTTGAAATGTGCTGTGGAGAATTAATGAAGGCTAATAGGGAACAAAAATTATTTGCCAGCTTCCAAGTTTTTAAAGTTTTGGCTTTAAACAAAAAATAAAACCTCTGATAGTGTCCTTAGCTTTAAATATCACTGTCTGCTGAAATGGCAATATTCTTGAGTTAAGAATAGATGCATTAACCTAATTTGGTTAAAGTTTGTTTACAATTTCATTACCATCCTGGTTCACACAGTACAGTAACCAAGCTCTGTCATCTTTGTCAAGTGATCACAGTTTTTCTCTGTTCTTAAAGTGGTTTTACTGGTTCAGGTTTGTAAATAACATGTAGTGCTTCATGTCTGAGGCAAGGGTTTAACATTCCTTTTCCATTGCATTATGTTTGGGACACAAACTCCCAGAGAGACAATTCCATCAAAAGGTAAAGCATTCCCGTCAGTGTGGTTCACTGTGTATGCACTGAGTAGGGCTTGGGTGCTTCTAGTCCTGTGTAGCATTGTCACCACTGGCCCCCATGCCTGAGGAATCTGTTTGTTAAGCACTGTATTATGTTGTAAATTTGGCATTACAATTCCTGTATGTTTTGGCATTATTTACATAATGCTGAAATGTTGTTTATCTGTTGAAGACATCATTGTGACTGAGCATGGAACAAAATACAGGATACTATACTAAATTATTTTGTTTCTCTGTAAACTTGCGTTTTACTTACAGTCAAACTAACTCAGCCAACTTGAGCATTGGTACTGTAAAACCACAATTACCAACAGCATGATCCTAACTTCAATATTTAATTTAACCAAATAACTTGTGGTGAATCTGTTGCATCTGTAGCTTACTCTGTTAAGCAGTAAAGTTGGTTATACAATGGGTGTCCTCTTTATGTTGCACTGGTTCTATAGCCAAGCTTGCTACATTAAAATATTTTTAGATTAATTTCATTTCTTTATTTGAGAAGTTGAAATATTGAAATTCAGCATGCTGACTAATGGTTGGCAGTTGTTAATACATGGTTCAGATGGTCTTTGGCACAAATGATGGGGTGGGAGGGTCTAACCAAGTAAGTACCCAACTCTTCTTCAGCTGCATCTCCTTCCTGCAGTTGTTGGGGAAATGTTTACAGATTAATGCATTGAAGAAGGTTTTGCCTCCTGTAATTTGACAGAAATATGATCAGCCAGGCTCATCCCTTTTAATTTGTCCCTGACATGATTATTTACTTTCTGAAAATTAAGAAAACCAAACAAAACCCCCAAGAACTACAAAGGGCATGTTTTGAGTGACTGAAAAATGTTTCTCATGTGCACTGTGACAACCCTAGTGAAAGGAGTGTTCTGTAGAACTATAGAATAAAAAACAACCGCTTGAATTTGACTCCTGTCATCAACCCAGCTCCAGCAAGAGAAAAAACAAAGAACTTTGTGGGTTTTTTTGATTTATTTGTTTGGGTTTTGGTTTCTTTGTTGGGTTTTTTTTGTGTGTGTGATGCATTGACATGCACAAGGTATCCAGAGGCCGCCTAGTTCAGCTCACAGTGTGGGTAGGATCAGTTGACTGCAACCATCCTGGATTTTATCTGGGATAAATGAGGATCTTTTTGGTAGCTTGCAAACTTCAGGTATTGGTAATTATGGCAAGCATGAACCAGGTGTGGACTTACTCTGCCAGGTGTTATTCCAGTAGCTACAAGCCATGGGAATTTACTTTGTAAATTTAGTACAAGTCAGTCTGGTACTGGCCTAACAAGATATTTTTATGTCCCTAATGCCTGTTAAGAGGAAAAGGCTGGAAAAAGGCTGGAAAATCTAAATTTCATCCTTGTAGCACTGAAATAGTGTGGCTTTGAATGGGGACCAAAGTCACCTGTGAGGGGAAGTTGTCCCCTGTCTATCAGGATTGACAGAAAATCAGCATTACTGCATGAGCAGAACAGGACAAACTAGCTGAAAACTCCTTGACAAAGCACTTTGTGCTTTGCTAGAGAGAGTGAGGGAAAGGATTAAACCAATGTATCTTGATCTAACTGGAGTGACTTGTTAAGGGGATTCCAAAATTCCACAGGCAATGAGTACTCAGAAATCCCTTCTGGCTGTCTCTGGAATGCTCCAGATACACTTGGTTAATTTTCTTCCTTCTGAGCTTCTGCTCTCTGACCTAATTAGCACAGACCAGCAATGTTGACTCGCCTAATGATGACAACAGAATGGATTTAGTAATAGCACTTATTGCCTCATTAGTACTGTTTTTCAATTAGTCCTTCCTTAAGAAAAACTACTCCAGTTTCTGTGATGACCTGGGTCAGCACTGGATTCTGTTTGAGAGCAGCAGGTAATTTATTTGTTATTACTCATGGTTTGGAGTGTTTGCCATCTGTCAGTGAACTGGATGGTTTTGTACAGAGAAGAGTTCATAAATTAATATCTCAGGATGGTTGGTAGGTGCTGCCCTGTGGATGAGGTGCATTGCCAGGATGAGAGCTCCTGGTCAAGGAGGGATAGGTGGGGGTCTGCAGGCTCTGCTGAGGTGGTCCCTGGGGTGAGGGTCACACTGCTGTCCTGTGGGAACATCCAGTGACCATGGAGTGAATTGCACTGCCAGCAAACATCCCAAACGCCTCCACAGTCACTGGGGGAGAGCTCTGTGTGACTGTAAACTCACCTCTTGCCTCCAGAGGCAGGTTGGCTGAACAGTGACATTCAGCCCGTTTGAAACAGGTCAGGGCTTGAAAACTAAGGATTATCCCTGACTCAAATTCCCTGTGTGCTCAATGTGAAACAAATGATTTCTCCAGCAGGTACCACACATCACTACATGGATGTGCTTCCAGATTTCTGGTTTGGGGTCTCAGTTATTGGCCATGGGCTGCTGGTATTTGAACCCACCTCGTGGAAGGAGCTGGAAGCAGAACTGGGCAAACCAGACCAGTCCTACGTGTGCAAGAGCAGAAGGGAAACAGGCCTGTTTGGTTCTTTCTCTTCATTGCTTCTGTGCTAAGTCTTTATTGAGCAGGCACCTGCTGTTCCCAGTTGCTTGGACAGCCTCAGTTGTTTCAGGTCCACAGTTTGGATGTCTGTTGGAATGGATCTGAGGCAGAATTCCATCCAAGCTGTAGAATAATAATTTCCCTTAAAATGCAGAGATGCGTCATACCTGGTGATTATCTACTTGTTTTGGAAATAATCTCATTATCCTGTTCCCTCAGTTACTACTTCTGAATGCACATTCAGTGAAATGTGCTTTCCAGTTGTGGCTCCAATCTTCTGCAGAGAATGCCATGGTTACTGGTGTGCAGGGCAGAGACACCCATAAAGTGAAATCCTGCTTTCATACTTCTGTTTCCTCTTTCCCTCTGGGAATGTGACTTGGAATGAAAAACTGCATCTTTAG